CCCGTGGCAGGAGCACCATGGGCATGAGTGGCTCGACATGGGTGGGTGGGCTGTGGCAGGGGGTGGTCCATGCCTGGGATGGGCAGCCAGCGCCTGCCTGCTCTGGGGTCCAGGGCAGGCAGCTGAGCTATGGGGTTCAGTCTCTTTGGGGTCCACTTGGGGCTGTGGGAGCAACGCAGAGGCATAGAAACCAGGGCAAAAGCTTTGGGGTGCCCAGTTGCACCCATCTGAGGGGGCATCATCCCTAGACTTGTATGATGCCCTCCACGCCAGCTCCTGCCGGCACACAGGCATGCAGCCCCAGCTCCAAGATCCCCAGATCCAGCCCTCAGGAAGGGCAGCACGGTGACGGTACAGCCGGGGGATGCCGGTCCAGGAGTGGCCGATGGGGCCGAGTACATGGAGGAACCATGGAGCAGCGTGACCCGGTGACCCACCTCCCCAGCCCAGCACACTGCTTCGCCCCCCGCTTTGTTGTTTTATGGCAAGGAAATGAGTCGTGGGGGCCCCGGTCTGGCTCTTACTGCCGCGCGGGATGGCGTCAAGCCGGAAAGAAAACAACTTGTGCAAAAATAGACTGCCCCAGGGCTGTCTGTGGGGTGAAGGGGGCTGGGATCCCTACCCGACAGCCTCCTGGCACAGTATGCTCGGGGTGTGATCTTGTCTGCCCGCTACCGCCACACTGATAGGGAGCAGCCGGCACGGAAACGGTGTTATCTGCCGCCAGCGCCAGCCCGGCAGCCCCTGTCCCCCGTGGGAAGCCCCAACCTGGGGACAGCCATGGGACCCAGGGTCTGGAGGCACTGCTTTTCCTTGCTCTCCCTTTCCCTGCACACCCACCCATTGGGACCCACCAGCCGTCCCCGAGGAGGGACACAGTGGGGCCGCGCTGCCCAGGGACACAGGAGTGTGACGGCCGGGCACGCTGCCTGCTTGCCTGCCCAGAGCAGGCTGCTCCACAGCCCACAATGGAGGGGCGATTACATCTCCCGGCATGGGGCCACTGTGCTGCCTGCATCCCAGCCAAGGGTCCCCAGTCCCCCCAGCCCTGCCCCATGGCCAGAGAAGGTGGTGGGATGGCATCCCAACTGCATGCCCAGCTGCATTCTGGCCACCAGTGCCCTCCTGCAGTTGTTTGCCCAAATTGTCCCTGTCCCAGTGAGCCGGCGATGAGGATGGTTCCCTCCACCTCCCCAGCTGTGCAGACAGACGGATAGCCCCATCAGGGAACGCTGCTCCTTGGCATGGCCCCCCCATTGTTTCGGAGCTGAGGAACAAGCCACAGGGTGCCCTGTGCTGCCTGCACGGCTGTGCCTGCCAGGAGCCATCCTCTGCCCAGTCCAAGGAGGGGAGCAGTGGTAGGGAAGGGGAGAGGGATGCTTTTGTCCATCTCTTTTCAGCAACAGCTCATGGCTCACATTCAGCCAAGGGTCTTGTTTAGAGGTGGCCGACAATTCCCTGGGGAGCAGGCAGCATGGGGAAGGATCCAGCCATCAGAAGCCCCCCAAGGAAGGAGGAATCCCCTTCACTCCCTCCTGCCTCTCATTCTATTTTTGGAGCTTCAGGGATGATCCCAGATTTGTTTTCTGCTCCCTGAGGGAGGGAGTGCGCATTTCAGAGTGAGCGAGGCTGCATAGGGTCAGGGTAGCTCTGACCCAGGAGCACATGTTTAGGGCTGGCTGCACTTTTGGTTGAATGGGAGCCATAAAAATGTCATCCCTCTCTTCCCCACCTCAAGCCCGGCAGCTGACAGCTCCCTCGTGGCCCCACCAGAGAGATTTCTCCCTGAAATGCCGCTTGCATGGGACAATCCCAGCAGGAACCTGTTGCCCAAGGCTCAAACTGGTGAGGAATAGCCATGTTTCTGGTGGGATGGAGCAGGCTGTGATCTGTGCTGGGCTTTCCGGGTGAAGGCGAGAGGATGCTCTCTCCGACGGCTGCTTCCTGAGGAACCGGCTTGCAGGCAGCTGGCAGTTTTTGCCAGCCGAGTCAGCAGGCAGCGGGGTGCCGTGGCCACAGCGTGCCGGCCTTCCCGGCCTTCCTGCTGCCCCAGCAACCCAGTCGCGTCCGGGAAGAGCATCTGAGGGATGGGGACATGCCATCAGGGGCTGGCCATGGTGTGGAGGGTGCCCTGGCCATCGCCAACCTCCTCTTTCTGGGGCTCCAGAGGAGGAAGGAAACACCTCAGAGCTGGGAAGGGGCTCAGCATCCGTCAGAGGGGCTCGCCTGAGGGGTAGCAATGGGCAGGGGGAAGCGGTGGCCAGGCTTTGAGGATGTGTCCCCTGCTCTGACGTGCAGCATCTGCTCCCGTCACCCTCCCCATGGAGCCTCTGCCGTGCCCCCGGCTCAGGGCTGTCTTGGCTGGGCTCGGGGGAAAGCTGCCCTTTTCCTGT